CCTCAGCCTTTAAGACCACATGTGGCCCTCAAGGGCCTTGAGCGCGGCCTTGTGACTGAATCTAAATTTTAAGGAGTAGCCTTTTATTTTTATTAATACATGTTTGTTAATCTTTTGTATTTTTATTTTATTTTTAAATGAATGTATTTAAAATACCAAAAACTAAAACAAGTTGTAATGAAATAATTCTCCTAGATTGACCAATTAGAACATTAGTGAGCCACAAAGGTTAACTTGACGGCTGCTGTGCTCATGATTTAGTTCTAGCTTCCTCCACCTGACTGGTGCCACTCCTGCATGAGGCTGGTTGGTGAGAATTTATGGGGACTGAGTAGGCCAGTCTGTTGTCAGCTTTTGACAATGGTGCACTGTGTTTCTGTTTGATGTAGAATTTGTGAATAGTTGCACAGCTTGACACCACTTCTTAACTCTGTCTGCTTACCAGCCCAACATGTCAAAGAAGACCAAGAGAACACTGAAGAAGGAAAACAGATTTTTTAATAAATATTAGGAATTGCAATACTGTCTTGTTTCTGCTAAAGATAAGATGATTTGCCTGCTTTGTGATACTGCAATATCAACATTAAAGAAATTCAGTGCTCATCAGAATTATAACACTCAAAAGAACCAAAAATATTTTAAATTAGAAGAATAGATCTATACGGTGGTATTGCAAAAATTAAAAGATAAAAAGCAAAAGCAAAGACAATTCTTTCAAGTAGCCATAAGACCCAGAAATCATGCCACTGAAGAAATATATAGACCTAGCGTATATACTCAGGGGAAAAAAAGAAGCCATTCAGTGATGTAGAAATTATGAAAGAATGTGTTGTCCAAGTTATAGGATGCTTAGACCCCCCTCCAAATGTTTCAAAGTACAAACAATTGTCTCTTTCAAGGAGAACCATAATTGATGGGCAGCATGAATTAGCCTTCAACTTAACAGAACAACTTCATGCAATACTTCAAAATAAATAGATACTATTCAATTACTTTGGATGAATCAACTGATTCTACTGACTCAGCACAGGTTTATATTTTGTTCAAGTCACAGCAGAAAATGTTCTTTGCTATGAAGAGTTACTCATTTGGGGCACTCTTGTGAACAGAACACAGGGAAAAGATATCTTCAACAACTTTAAAGATAAATGTTATGAAGTTGGACTGAATTTGATACATTGAGCGGGGTATGGACAGATGGTGCACCTTCCATGACAGGAAAACATGAAGTGCTTATTGCACAGATTAAAAAAAAGTAGTAACAGATCTAGATGCTCATTTTTCTCATTGTACCTGCATCAGCAAAATCTCTGTAGTAAAGCTACTATTTTAAGAGATACTTTACCACAAGTTATCGTATTGTTAACTGTATTTCTGCAAATAGACATGGCATCAACAGTTTGGTAACACACTACAGTTGACAGTAAGGTATTTAGGGAGGATTTGCCATGTCATTCTAAAGTGCTTTGGCCATACCAGAGACAGGTGCTAGCCAAAATTTTATCTTTGTGAGAACAGATAACTAAAATTTTTGGAGAACAGAATCAAAATGAACTATTGAAGATTTCTGTAGGGATGCAGCATTTCTGTGTGATATCGTGTCAAATCAAAATGGCTTGAATAATACTTTGCAAGGTAAAACTAAGTCTATATATGATATGTGACCCCCCAAAATTAAGCATTTTGAAAAAAGTTGTCTTTTTTTGAAATATTTATTCTTCAAACGGAAATTTTGGATGAATATTTTCTCCAGTTAGCAAAGGTCATTGATGAGCAGGATAATATATGTGAATCATTCAAAGAATGTGCAGCTGTTACAGACCTTTTAATTAGAGAATATATAAAAGGTTCACAGTTTTGGGAATCCTGATATCGGACTCAAATTAGCATTTCAGCCTCACCTAGTTGTTATCACCAAGGCATCTAAAGAGCTACAGATGGAACTGATTGGGCTCTCAGAAGATGAAAATTTAAAGTCATTGTTTGATGCTACGAAAGATAGAATTGAAATATGGAAAAATGTAGGAGAATTCTCACACCTTCAACAACATGCCCCCAAAATGCTTTCTTTTATTTCAACGAATTATTGCTGTGAAACCACATTTACTCCTATGTAACCCAAATCTAGATGCCCTTAAGATCACAAATGACTGATAGCCTTCTAGAGGATCAGCTGGAACTTCAGACCTCCATGCTGCAACCAAATATTCAAATGCTTTCCATAAAAAGCGGACACAACAATGGTAGTCTTTAAAAAGTTAGTTAACTTTAAAATTAACAAATAGTTTCCAATCTTTGAAATTACTAACTGCATAGTTTTTAGATTTTTACAATATAAATCACATTTTTTAGTATATCTAATTAACATTTCTTGAACATAGCCTTCCAACATGTAAATGTTCCCCACCCTTGATCAAGTACATACTCTCATACTCTCAGAAAGTAATGTGGCCTTCCAACATGAAAATGTTCTCCACCCTCCATCAAGAACATACTCTCTGCCTGGCACTAGGCTAGGCCCAGCCTAAATTCCATTCTTATTTAAAAAAGAAATCAGTGAATTCATTTTGGAGGTTTGTAAAGGCAGGAGAGGGCTGAGGAGAGAGTTATAGCATCAACAGCTGCCTTGGAGATGCTGAGTAAACTCTGGCACTGGGACAGTTTTAAGAGAGGGGAGTCGGAAGCCCCCAAACTGGATCTGTTCTTAAGCCACCCACTGAGATGCTGAATTTCAGAGCAAACTTCAACTTCTCTGTGCTTTGGTGTCCTGAAGTCTGCCCGACAGTGACCTCCTCGGTATAGAGACAGTAAAGCTATCATGATGAAAAAGTCTTAAAAATTAAAGGTGCTGGTGATAAGTTAAGCCAAGTTACTTTTAAACTTTTTACTGACTGACACACATGCCACAATGGCCACGTAAGTCTAGAAGCACCCACATCAAAACATGGGCCATTTAATGGGCACGGTGGCTCACACCTATAATCCTAACACTCTGGGAGGCCAAGGCGGGCAGATCACTTGAACTCAGGAGTTTGAGACCGGAGCAAGAGCGAGACCTTGTCTCTAAAAATAGCCGGGTGTTGTGGCGGCTGCCTATGGTCCCAGCTACTTGGGAGGCTAAAGCAAGAGAATTGCTTGAGCCCAAGAGTTTGAGGTTGCTGTGAGCTATGACGCCACAGCACTCAACTGAGCTGAGAGCAACAAAGTGAGACTCCATCTCAAAAAAAAAGAAAGAAAGAAAAGAAATGGACCATCACAAAGCGCCTCTCTGGACCCCAGAGTCACCACTTATCCCTTTTGGGAAACTGCTAATCTGGCTTCTAACACCCCTGATTACTTTTTCTATCTTTACATTTTGCATTAATGCGAGCGTATAGAATGGGGTCCTTTGAGTCTGGCTCGGTTCACTAAGCATTGTGTTGTTAGATCCCGCTATACCGTGGGGTCTGGTTACAGGTTGTTCAGTCCCAGTGCCATGTAATCCTCGCTCTGTGTGAGTGTATCACAGTGTATGTGTCCATTCTACTGTTGAGGTACTTGAGTGGTTTCATACATAGCCTTTTATATGTAGAAAAGACCAGAAATTCTCTCTTATACAGAAGGAGGGAACAGATGAAATTCACCATCTCTTTCTACTTTAAATTGGTCTGAGCAAAAGAATTTTTTTTGTTTTCCCGTGTCAGAATTAGAACTAATCTGGCTATAAATTATTAATAATTAACAATATAGTATAATGTGGCTCGGCGCCTATAGCTCAACCGGCTAAGGCGCCAGCCATACACACCTAAGGTGGCGGGTTCGAATCCCCAGCCCGGACCCGCCAAACAACAATGACGGCTGCAACCAAAAAATAGCCAGGCATTATGGCGGGCGCCTGTGGTCCCAGCTACTTGGGAGGTGGAGGCAGGAGACTCACTTGAGCCCAGGAGTTGGAGGTTGCTGTGAGCTGTGATGCCACGGCACTCTACCCAGGGGGACAGCTTGAGGCTCTGCCTCAAAAAAAAAAAAACAAACAAAAAAAAACAATATAGTATAATGTAATATACGTGTTTCTTTGCTATAAACTATTTTCACCTGACAAACCTACTTTTTGAATTTTTCTAAGAAACTCAAAGTATGCAACTGTTCTTAATGAAAACATCAATCCTCAATTAAAATATTTCCTTCCTTTTAAAAAGGAAGACCGCATTTTTTCTAATCTGTAGGTTTCTTCTATTACACCCTGTACCACACAATACACTATATCAGTTGTTTAAAGCTGTCTGAGATATTTTTTTCGCCAATGGAATTCCATATTGAAGAGGAGATGATTCTAGAATCCTGATATGTCAAATTAAATTTTTTTAAGTATATTAATATACATTTCCACCTGTTAACTTTTCAGAAAGGAGAAGGGGGTTACTATGTTGCCAGCTGGCTGTAGGGAACCTTCTTCCTACTTACAAAGGAAACCAGCCAGGCTTTTGATGGTGATTATTTCTCAAGGGAAAGGTTCTCTTTGGTTGTGACATGACAATGTCCCCCGTACGGTGTGCTAATCCACGTCTGGTGCTGGTGGATGGAGTATATGGGGAGTGGGGGGGGGAAAGTGCCCAAACAGGACATCAAAAAATAAAAAGCACCTGAAATTACCAACTTAGAAAATAAAACGATGTTTATGCACAGAGTAACACAATTTCTCATTCACACATCCCACCTGTGACATTCATCGGAGCCTTCACCTATGGGTTGTATGTCATCTTTTCCACTCCTAGTAGTTTATAGATTTTTTTCTACTTTGAAATGGAAGAGAAAAAATAAAAAAGACCCACAGCCACCCTAAAAGGAAGAAGGAAGTGAGAGCTCTCCAGTGTCTGGCTGGCTGTGTCTTTGTGACGGCCCATGCTGTTCTTTCCGGTCTGGGTGAGAGTCTATGTTTCCACCTGCCCGCCCCCTCCAGCTTATAACGCAGAGCACATGACAGGAGGGCAGCTCAGTCTCTGCCCACCAGCCGGCGAGGAGGAGCAGACTGTCATGCTGTCTCTCCCATTTTCCACGGTTCCTCGGAGGTGAAAGAACTCTGGCGAGAGACTCTCCGAGGGTGAGTACTATAAATTAACATGACTAGAACTTCTAAGCTGCCTGGCTAGTCACGGGTCACTAAAGCCACATGCCATAGAAAACAGCGCGGCCGTGGGACCTGCTGGAGCTTCACAGAGTCTCAGGACGCAGAAAGCTCTGCTCCGGTGTGAAAGCCTCCAGTTTTTTGGTGTAGGAATTCTGTAAATGTCATCTTTGTTCTATGTTTTATGTTTACCATAAGTAGCATCCTGAGAATACTTTTTTTTTCCTTTTGGGATTAGTTGGAAAAAAAAAATCTGTGCAAAGCACTTAGTACAGTAACTATCACATAGGGAGCACGCCAAAACGATGATAGTTGGTATTGTAATTGATATTCAGATTCTTGAGGCAAATAAGTTAATATATATTTGGGAATGTATATCTAGAAATAATAATTTAGTATAGTATATCTAGAAATAATAATTTAGAAAGAAATGTGCTCGGATGCTGTTCTTAATTGCATAAGACATCTGGTAACGTAGAACTGACTTTAAATGAAATATTTTCTACCTAATGGTTTCAAACCTGTGCTTTGACCAAGTGGGACTGAAAGTGGCCAACTTATACTGTACAGCTCTTCACTCTCACCCACATGATCTGTTGCAGACAGAGCCAAAGCCCCCCGGGAGTGGAATTCACCCCTGGACAGCCAGCCGCAACGCCGATGAAACTACTCAGCATCCACGATGCTGTAGGTACCCCGCTTACATGTATTAATTCATCGTTCCTAGAGGCAGGAGCCAAAAGATGCTTACTTCATTTTATTTTTTTCTCTTTTAGTCAAAAACACTAAATGCCAATAATATGGAGACACTAATTGAATGTCAGTCAGAGGTGAGAAAATCTTTGAAACGTTTTATCTTTACTATAAGACTATGGAAAACTTTCTGTTTTAATTTGTTATTTGAATTGTTTAAGTATCGGAGTAGAAAATTCACATCATAAATGTAGTAAATTAAACACATTCGTTGGAATCCTATGTGATGATAATTATGACTTTAATTGTGCTTCTAGAAGCTAGAAAACAAATCAGCATATTCTCTTGATTTAATTTTTAATAAGAATGAAGTGTTGTGGGTATGTTTTGTGGAGAAACGACTGGGTAGTTTTCTTCAGTCCTTATTTCAAAACAAAATAAATATCTCTTTAGGGTGATATCAAGGAGCACCCCCTATTGGCATCATGTGAGAGTGAAGATAACATTTGCCAGTTCATTGGTGAGTTTGAAAACATTCTGATCTTTTATGTAAGTGCTAACTACCAGTGTTCTTGGTTTGCAAAACCACAGAGTTTTTACTCTACTAGGAATTTTTTGTGTAAGTGTTCTGTTAAAGACCGCAGAACATTAACCCTTAAGTGGAAAGCACTCTCAAATCACGAGAGCAGCAAGTGCTCAGGGAGGAAAGACCCGTCCACAGCCAGCCCCCCAGTACTGCCGGGGGGGTTCCAGGGGGCTAAGTCCCCTGGCCATTTAGATTTGCACCATTAAAGCATACGCATCTGTAAAACACACAGTGCCTTTTTTATTATCTTCCTTCTCTGACGAGAAGAATGCGTCTAAGAGTTCATGAAGCAACTGTCGCTGGTCTCTAGATCCCAAAGAATTCCCTACCCTTAATTTCTTTCATTGTACATTTCATTATGACCAAACCCTGACCCCACTCAGCTGAACTGTAAGGACAAGCCCCTGCTCGCTCATCTTTTTTCCACTTGCCAGTATAAAATGTATAGGAACAGATGCCGTATATTTAGAAAATATAAACTTTATACTTAGGAGGAAGAAAAGGAAAATAAAAGAAAGAGAGGAAGGAAAGGATGAGAAGGATGGGAACTTGTAAGAGGCAATACGCACTGCACACACATCTGCTGGATTTGGAAGGATAGAGTATCTCAGTAACACTTCACTGATAATTCCCAATTGCCGGGTCTAGGGTCAGGCCTCCCGGCAGCAATTTGTGTTTGCCCTGGTCCTAAATCAGCAACCCAGGTGACCGCAGGTGGACAGAATGACCTTGCTCCCTCTAGTGGCTGAGAAGGGTTAGTGGCAGCCCTGCTAAGCGCCTTCAAAAGGATCTTGAGCAAGTCACTGCCTCTCTTTGTTTCGTTTTCTTCACCGGTGGAAGGAGGAAATTAAGTCAATCTATTGCATATCAGAAATGTCCTCTAGAGTTATTAAGGCCAATAGGTCAAGATGGTTGTTTATGCCCTGCACGGTTAGGTTTTGGTAATTTTCTGCAGCAAACAGCTGATAAAGGGGGAAAACAGGAAAGGTGGAGACTTTGAGGAACCTTAGTGTTGATATTTAGGGGCTGGTTGCCCTGGTTACAGTGTGGTGGTTTTTCAGTTGGTTTTTCTAGATTAAGATTCACACCCTTTGCTTTCTCAAGTTTTCAAAATTATTTCCCCCACATGGCACACTGTAGATAACATTATGTGACCAACACTGTCCATTTTCCCAGCTGGATCTTAATACTGTAATCTAATTCTTCTCTCTGCCTCATTTTCTTGGCTGTAGAAGTTAAGAAGAGGAAGAAGGTGCTGTCCTGGCCCTTTCTCATGAGGAGGCTCTCCCCGTCCTCAGATTTTTCTGGAGCTTTAGAGCCAGAATTGAAAGAGTCACTATTTGATCAGCCCTTGTCCATTATCTGTGGTGAAAACAACACACTCCCCAGGCCTATTCAGGTAGGTGCACATTTACTCAGAAACCTATGCCCGTTTTCTAGTGGATGTGAAAAATACTTGGGAAATCTGCCTGCCATTCTCCTACCCCGTTTTCTACTCTCAGAGATGGCCTTCCTGCATCCCCGTGCAGTCTGAAGAGGGTGTACAGGGCTCCAGAACTTGGGCCTGGTTTGCCAGTGAACTCAGAGTGATGGTCCTCCATTCCTCTGACCTCAAGGAATTGAGAATGCTGAAAATTTGTAGTTTCTGAAACGTCAACAGGCAGAGATGCAGTATAGAGTACATGACAGAAATCTAAGGTTTACATGGAAATATTTGAAAAGCGAGAAGTCAAAAAATTCTAAAATGTGTAAAATTAGAGCTTTCACAGCAGTCCTCCTCTAGAGAAATGATAGGGTTGCAGGAGACAGTTGACAGCAACTGACCTGGAAGCACAACCTGGCATCAGTACTCTTGTTAAGGCTGTCTGAGTGCAACAGAGAAGCCAGTGTTAGGGAAAGTATATTTTATGGCGAGTAAAGTTGCAGACTTTTCATATACATTATCTTAATTCTCTTTCTGCGACCTAAACATAGATTTTCGTGTATTATTAGTGGCGTTAGTAGCAACGTATGTGTCCTCAGGCCAAGGGTAACCAACGCCTGTTCCTACTCCTGTTTCCTACAGGATATTCTCACTATTCTCTGCCTTAAAGGCCCCTCCACTGAAGGCATATTCAGGAAGGCAGCCAACGAGAAGGCTCGCAAAGAGCTGAAGGAGGAGCTCAACTGTGGAGTCACAGTGGACCTGGAGGGGCTCCCTGTGCACCTGCTGGCTGCGGTCTTTAAGGTGAGTTCACCACATTTGTGCCAAACAACCTGCCAGTCGGCTCTGACACACTCGTTCTCAGGAAACAAGAAATGAGTTCTTATCCCGGCAAAACCAAGTACACTGATCTTGGAGTCTAATTTTCTTTGTTAATCCCTTTATTGATACAAGTAAACACTTCTGTTTCTAGAACCCTAGATTCTAACAAAACATGATGCATTATGTTCCCCCAAAATTTTGATGAGAAAAGGCAATTCGATTGCCAGTGGCAAAGTCCATGCCCTTCATTCCAGGGGCTTTTCAGAATGCACCTGCCTGGGGGTGATGCTTCCCACTCGCCCTGTTGTTAGGAAGTAGCTGGAAGTCAATGAGTTGGAGAGAGGCTTCCCCAGGTGGGTCAGGTGCAGGAGTGAAGGGGGTGCAGCCAGTGATGGGACAAGCATGGAGTACCTGGAGGTGGAACTAAAATAAGGCCAAAGTGAGGACACAGCATATGACACAACACAGATAACGTGTAACAGTCTGCCTCTCGCCCCCCAGGACTTCCTCAGGAGCATCCCGCTGAAACTTCTCTCCACTGACCTCTTTGAGGAGTGGATGGGTGCGCTGGAGACGCAGGACGAGGAGGAGAGGATCGAGGCTCTGAAACAGTAAGTCGCCAGCGTGATACCAGGAGGCAGGCCTGACACGGCCTCTACCTTCTGACCCTTCAGATAACTGCTGAAGTGCGTCACGATTCCTGTTTCATGAAAATTGTAACATTTAGGGAATCTGAGTGGACTTGCTCATCCATTCCCGGGATAAAAATGGGGAGGAGGGCCCTGGGGCTTAAAAGAAATATTTTTAGCCAAATGAAATGTTTCTTCAAAAAGTTGAAAGTAAACTTTAATACTCACAAATCTCAAGAGGTTAGGGTGTCTGCAAACATAAGAAGTTCAAACAATATGAGATGAAAGTGTACCCAAAAGCTTTAACATGGGCTAACCAGCAAAGTGTAGGAACTTAGGGTTTTCTCTAACCTGTGTTGACGGATGTCATGCAATACTTCTCCAGGAAACATCCCCTAGAGCAATGGTTCTCAACCTTCCTAATGCCAAGATGTATTTTCATTGTTACAAAGGGGTCGCGGCCCACAGGTTGAGAACTACTGCCCTAGAGCATAGTACAACAATCTGGAAGGCATTGTTTTATTCATAAAATTCCATAGCATATTTCATGTTCTTATAACTAACCAAAATGGCAACCACATAGAAACAAATTCCAGTGAGAACAAAAATAATTACACACACAAAGGAAAATGTGACCCGTTAGCAGCTGGAGAATTCTACACGCCTGCCTTAAAATGCCAGCAGGAACTACAAGAGGGACTCTCCCTCACAAACTCAAATATTGTGACCTGGTTGTATTCTCATTAACCTGAAACTTAAAAGAAAAAGACAAAGTGAGACTTTTGAAAGTCTGTTCTTATTTGTAACAATGTTGCTGCTTGAACGTTGCCTTATTTACTTACATGCCCTTATAAACTGATTTATTCTTCATAACAATTTCTCAGAATGGGATAAAAATGTGTCATTTTAATTTTTTTAATTTGAGTTCAAAATAAAAAAGGCAAGAAAACCAATCTAGCAGTGTTAGAAAGAAATTCCACATGGCTAAAGCAATACTTGACAAAATATTTTTCAAAATGCCAAGGCAGGCTTGGCGCCCGCAGCACAGTAATATAACCACAGTGCTGGCCACATACACCCAGGCAGGCAGGTTCAAACCCATTCTGGGCCTGCTAAACAACAGTGAAGACTGAAAAAACAACAACAAAAAAAATAGCCAGGCATTGTGGTGGGCGCCTGTAGTCCCAGCTACTTGGGAGGCTGAGACAATAGAATCGCTTAAGCCCAAGAGTTTGAGGTTGCTGTGAGCTGTGACACCACAACACTTTACTGAGGGTGACATAGTAAGACTATGTCTCAAAAAAAAAAAAAATGCAAAGACAAACTATGGTGTTTAATACAGGCTTAGTTTCATAATTTCAGATCTGTATAAATAATTAAGGATTTTGTTATTGATATCTGAATTATAAAGACTGGTTTCTTAACTCTTCGAGACCTTGTGGCTAACCAATCTCGTTCTGTGTCAGTTGCCACTGGAACTGTCTGAATGAGCATTTCACAATATCACTTGTGAAAAGGCACCTTCCTCATTTTAAAGGAAGTTTGGTTTAGGCAGAAACTTTCAACTTGCCACACGAAAGCTGGATAGAAGATTAGCCTTTTTTAAAACTGACATCCCTTAACTTTTCTCCAGGGTTGCAGAGAAGCTCCCTCGGCCCAATCTCCTGCTGCTAAAGCACCTGGTATACGTCCTGCACCTGATTAGCAAGAACTGCGAGGTCAGCAAGATGGACTCCAGCAACCTGGCCATCTGCATCGGGCCCAACGTGCTCACACTGGACAATGACCAGCACTTGTCTTTTGAAGCCCAGAAAGACTTGAACAATAAGGTTTGTTCTGCTTATTTATGAGAACCTCCCAACTCATGATCTCACCGGCTGCAAAAGCCAAGCAGAGCAAAGCTCCTGAACTTCTCCCTCTGACTCAGAATCACAATAAAAATATAAAATGAGGGATGCTTTTGTCATAGTTGTGATCGCTCATGAATTTGAGGAAACCAAGACAGAAGTGCTATAGATTTTAGCACCTCCCTCTCCCAGGATAGAAATGCCCTGTGCTTTTTTTCCTTTAGTGCCCCATTCTCCAGCAGTCCAAATATCAATTTAGGAAGCTACTTACCTAAGTGGAAAGTTTAAGTCAAAATGTTTTAAGTTCTTAAACAAAAAGTGTATGTCTCAAAAGCACTGAGTAATATCTAATTTTAATGTCTATGATTGCTACTAAACTTCCGTATCCTCTTTATAAACACACAAAAGTCTAGAGTCTCATCTCCCTAATAGTTGCCCCCCATTTTGTCCCCAATCTTCCCCCACCTCAAAAAAATCTTTCAGCTAACAACCTGCCAATTTTTCCTCACAGGTGAAGACATTGGTGGAATTCCTCATCGATAACTGCTTTGAAATATTTGGGGAGAACATTCCAGTGCATTCTAGTGTCACCTCTGATGATTCTGTAGAACACACTGACAGTTCAGGTACGGAATGTGCTTCCATTACAATTGTGGGGAAAGCTCGTGCCAGTCCGCCCATAATATAAAGCAGCTCTGGGATCTGAAGCAGGAGGTGCCTTTACAGATACCAAGTCAGACTAGTCTCAGGTCCATAAGGAAGCCATGAATGAGAAAACCTCGCTCTCAACTTTGCTTTCCATACCTCCTCAAGTGCAGGCACCCTCCAGGGTTAGTCTGGAACTTTCTCCCTTCCTATTCCAAATCACGAATGACTGCTCCTTTTGCTAAGTAACCTTTAACTGTGAAGGTGGAGTAAGAAACTTGTGTGTTTACATAATGGAATATGAGTCCGTGAAAATGGAAACGGGCCCTGTAAAAGAGCCATCCGAAGGATCGCTTTTCAAACTTCAGGCTAATAACTTCACAATGAAATGCTTCTTCTCTTTTCTCTTTTCCTCCTTCCCTCTTTTACTCTCTCCTCCCTCCTACGCTATCTCCTCTTCCTATCTGTCTTCTCATCACTAATTAGATCTGAAAAGACAAAGCTTCACTGTGGCAAATTCCTTGTCATACCAAGCCCCCCAGCAGTTCCAGCAAAGTACCTAGTGCCATGATTGGAATGAGGAGGGTGATGTGTAGTCAAGTTTATTTCTAAAAGAATCTGAACAAAATGTTCAACTCTTCCTTAACTCCCCCCAGACGTGTCAACCCTGCAGAATGACTCAGCCTATGACAGCAATGATCCTGATGTCGAGTCCAACAGCAACAGCACCATCAACTCTCCCAGCGGGCAGCCCCAGGGGCCCACTGCTGTGTCCACTGGCTTACTGGACAGGGGGCAGTGGGACGTCTGTGAGCCAAGCCCGGAGCCCATTGCAAGCACAGTAGCCAGGCTGAAAGGCCGCCTCAGCCAGCCGGACAGGAGGTACTCAGAGCCCAGCTTGTCATCCTCACCAGAGAGCCTCCAAAACCAGACAACTACCCAAACCCTAACGAACAGTGAGGGCGACCTCCCTACGCCTCACGCGGGCTCTTATTTGGAAAGTGAGGAAGCTGAAGAAGACCCATTCCCAGAGGAGGTCTTCCCTGCAACACATGGCAAAACCAAGAGGCCAGTGGACCTGAAGATCAAGAACTTGACCCAGGGCCTAGCCTTACCACGGGGACTGGTCCCCAAAGCCCTCTCCAGTGGCTCCCTAGACGGTTGCTCAGACAGCTCACCTGCAGCTTCTCCTTCAAGCCCCAAAAGAAATTTCTTCACCAGGCATCAGTCTTTCTCCACAAAGATTGAAAAATGCAAACCCAACAGAGAAATTAAAAAACACTCCATGTCCTTCTCCTTTGCCTCTCACAAAAAAGTGCTGACCAAAACCCCCAGCTTCGGGAAAACCCACGGCTCTACCACAGATCAAGCCAGGAAAGGTTCTAAAAGAGAAAGCCAGCTTGCCGGCCGGGTAGTGCAGGACGACGGGGCTGACACCCACAGCCCTAGCGCCCTGGGCTGCGGACTGAGGTCCTGCGTGCTGTCGGTGGACGATGTGTTCCAGCTGGTGGACCCGGGTGGTCCCGCGAGCCCGCCCTCTTATGAAGAGGCCATGCGGTGCCAGGCTTGGGAACCTGCTGCCTACGGGAGCCAGACAGTGGGCAGCATGAGGGCAAGAGCGCTCAGTGGGCACCTCATTCTGCCACCTCTTCTCCCATCTGACCACAGAGGGGACTCAAGAGACAAATGCAGTGGGGAGCCCCTTCCTGGGCACAGACTGTCAGCCTTGACCATGGGTTGGGCACACAGTAGGACCATCAGTGCTTCTGTGGAAACTCTGGGGCACGTGGCTGTCCCAGGCAGACCTGAGCTGCCCCGGCTGAGGACCGTGGCCGAGGCTGTGCAGAAGAATGAGAGGGACTATCTCGTGCGACGCTGTAGCCAGCCCATCTTTGAGGCTGACCAGCTCCAATGTGCTAAGGAATCCTACATTTAGGCCATGCCTTAGCCCGTGCCATCTCTGTACAGACAGGGCCGTGGGAAGAACAGCTACAGTTCCCTGCTGAAAGGTCGTGAATAAGCTCCTTTAGAAAGGGCTGGAGAGCCCTCCTCGGTGGGGACAGCCACACCATGGTCATGGAGCACCAGATGGTGTCTATGTGTGCTCCTGGATTTGTGCAATATGTAACAAATGTATAAAATGTATGATAGCCAGGGTGCTAGGGCCCAGAAGGGCGCATAGAGCCCTGTGTACTTGGCTTTTCCACAGTAAAGTCCATTGCTGTTCTCTCCTCCTGGGGTACTTTTCTCCTGGTTACTGTTTAAAAATCATTTTTGCTTTTTGAACGTTGCCTCAAATGTCATGCTAATTTTCACATTTGCCGCAAATTCCGTTTAGGGAGAAATGCTTAAAACTCTGGTCTAGGCTTGGCGCCTATAGCTCAACTGGCTAAGGCGCCAGCCACGTACACCTAAGGTGGCGGGTTCGAATCCCCAGCCCAGACCCGCCAAACAACAATGATGGCTGCAACCAAAAAATGGCCGGGCGTTGTGGCGGGCGCCTGTGGTCCCAGCTACTTGGGAGGCGGAGGCAGGAGACTCGCTTGAGCCCAGGAGTTGGAGGTTGCTGTGAGCTGTAATGCCACGGCACTCTACCCAGGGGGACAGCTTGAGGCTCTGTCTCAAAAAAAAAAAAACCTCTGGTCTACATTTACTCCACGAGCACCCTCGTGACAACTAATCACCACGGTAACAGAAAGAAACAGACTATGAGCCGTGGAGTTCGGTGTTTGGAGTTGTCAAAACATTACGAACACTGGCAAAAAAAGAGGCCACCGTGAAAATTATGAAAAGGACTTAAGCATGTCCTTGCGATCATCTGTTAGGTCAGGTAGACGGGGGAAGATGCGTTGCACCCACGTGCACTCGTTTCGGGCACTTTGAATTTCATTGGTTCAGTGATGGCTCATCCAACAGTGAGGAGGTAAATGATTTTATAAGCATTGGGGGTCGTATGTAAAACTTCAATGTAATTTCACTACAATAAATTGCCTTCCTTATTTGAAACTGAAAATGTTCGTTCTTCACCGACATGTTACTGCCTTTCTCTTAGTTAGTAGAAGTTTGCCAAGAAAATCCTTCCCACACTGGTTCACTCAGGAAGCATTTGTGGAATATGTGTTCACTATTCCAGACTAGCAGGCGAGACTGGGAATATCGTGTTTAGGAAGAGACAGTACCTGTTCCCCAAAACCATTTTGAAAAATACCTGATTTATGCCATTTTTTTTAGTCACTCAGAGGCCAAAAAAGAAATTAGTATGCAAATATAGGTAAATATAAGAAATGTAATATTTTTCATTTCCAGTGGATTAAACTTTTCTGTTCTTTGACATATCTTATCTCATTTTTATAATGCTCAATTTGCTTAATTCTTAGCAAATATAGTGGTAGGCTGTTTGTAATATGGGGGCTATCCAGAAAGTAATATGAAAAATAGTATTGACAATGGCTGGACCCTTTCCAGATAGCCTTTGTATAGTAGAACTTTACTGCTCAATGACTGAGATATTTATTCAATATCTGGGAAATATTGCACTTTAGTTTTTCTTATTTGTCAACTTTTTTAATAAAATACTGTGCATGCTTTTTATTTGTTATAAAAATATTTTTGTGTCAGCTAGCTACCAGATGGTGAAGACTTATTCTTTTCAGAGGTAATTTATTAATAATGTTATGCAAAGTTAAGAATATTATAAACTAGATTGCTCAAGGTAGCATGTTCAGGCCTAATATTTAAAAATACTGGCCAGGCATGGTGGTTCATGCCCATAATCTTAGCACTTTGGAAGGCTAATGGGAGGATCACTTGAAGCCAGGAGTTCAGGAGCAGCCTGGGCAATATGGCAAGACCCTGTCTCCAGGAAAATAAAACACAGTAACCAGGCACAGTTGTAAGCCTGTCATCCTAGCTACCAGGAGTCTGAGCCAGCAGGACCACTTGAGCCCAGGAGTTAGAGGTTGCAGTGAGTAAAATTGCACCACTGCACTTGTCTGGACAAAAGAGTGAGACCCTGTCTCAAAAAAGAGATACTTTAGTAAGCACCAGTAATATATAAATTAAAGAGGTAGACTGTCCCTTCTGACAGCTGCCTTAGGAAAGCAGTCCCTTTCCCCAGGTGGACACTAACAGCGAGAGTTACAATTTTAGCATCTTCCATGCACCAGGCACGGTGCTAAACATTTCAATATTGAAAAGAAAAAGTCTTCCAGCATGTTCTGAGGAACTTCTTATTGACAATGAGAAAATTCCCATCAATAGACCACTAAGATTGTAAACTAGGAAGCTTCAAATGTATTCTCACTGCACCTCTGACCTGACCTCCATGTCACCCTACTCGGGTCACGAAAACCCTACCCAAGTTTCCTTATTTTATTTTTATTTTTTTTATTTTTTTGAGACAGAGCCTCAAGCTGTCCCCCTGGGTAGAGTGCCGTGGCATTACAGCTCACAGCAATCTCCAACTCCTGGGCTCAAGCGAGTCTCCTGCCTCTGCCTACCAAGTAGCTGGGACCACAGGCGCCCGCCACAACGCCAGGCTGTTTTTTTTTTTTTTTTTTTTTTTGGTTGCAGCTGTCATTGTTGTTTTGGCGGGTCCGGGCTGGGGATTCGAACCCACCACCTTAGGTGTACGTGGCTGGCGCCTTAGCCGGTTGAGCTATAGGTGCTGAGCCAGTTTCCTTATTTTAAAAAAGTAGAGGAGTGAGACTGGAAGTCCTCTCCACGTGACTAGCACAATTTGCCAGCAAACATTCGAGAGCTCCTTACCGTCGAGCGAATATCCTTAGTGTGGCTGCCCCTGAACAGCAGAGGAAGAAAGGTGCACAACCCCCTCCAATATCACAGTGTTGTGGTTTTCCCAGCCTAGTTCCCACGCCTGTTAGCCAGCAAGGGCTGCCAGGAAAAGTACGGTAGACTGGGTAGTTTAAAGAGCAGAAATGATGCCTTTCAGTTCTGGAGGCTGAACATCCCAGGATAGGGCACCAGCAGAGCTGGTTCCTTCTGAGGTTGTGGGGAGAACCTGGTCCGGGCCTGCGTCCTGGACATGGTGACCACCTCCTTGCTTCCTGCCCATCACCTCCCCTCTGTGTTTGTCTATCGCCAAATTAGGACACTAATCAGAATGGATTCGGGACCACCCTTACTGGCCTCACTTCACCCAACTTCATTTCCTCATTAAAGGCCCTATCTCCAAACACAGCCACATTCTGAGATTCCAGGGGTTAAGACTTCTGACATACGAATTTGGAAGGAGGGACACAATTCAACCCCTAGCACTGAGTTGTAAAAAGAGCACTTCATGATACTTTGATTATGCCAACAGCCTTTAATATTTTGGCATAATCAGAGGGCTAAGGCTTGCATGACATTTGGATGATATTAAAATGATACAATAGTTAAGCATCCAGGACCATTCAAGTTCTGTCCTCCGTGGACCTCCTAAGGGCCCATATACATGACAAGTGGGGTGATCACATGTGTGCCTGACGCCCCTGCCCTGCAAGGTGTGAAGTAAAGCCAGGTTGGAAATCAAGGCCTAAGTGGGAGGGCAGACCTCACCCAGGCCTTCTCTCCTAGGAAGTTTTCTCTCCTCCAATAGAGAGGGGGAGGGCTGAGTGATTGTCTGCAATGACACTCTGGGTCCCCCACCCATACCCTGGGACTACCCAGCAGTGAAAGAAATTAAAACTTGATCTAGAAACGTTGACTTGTGGGAATTGAGCAAGGTTGGGTGCTTTGGCAGGAGCCGAGCAAAACTGCAATTCTGTCAAAACCCAAACCCTACAAACACAACACCTGTGTTAAGGGGTTGGTTGGGGGGCGGGGGTGGGGTCCCTTGGCATCCCAACTAGCAGCTGTGGCTTGTAGTGCTAATAAAATGAGTAGTTAATGACCACAGTGCTTCCATGGCCATAGACAGAATGTCCAAAGAGCTGCTAACTGTTTATCCTAATGCACGATCAAAAGAAGAAATTTATAGATGGACTTTCCTGATTGTGATCAGGCTGGAAGAACCACCAGTACACATTCTCCTCCGCGGGGCCAGGCACAGAAACTCACGTCAGATGGGACCTCACATACTTCGAGTTCCTTTTTTATTGAATTATGTCATCTTAATTCTTCATCTACAAAGGGAGAGTTACTGAGGAATCACAAGTATGAACACTTTGCTAGAGATGAAATGAAATTAAAACTTTTAGCAAGATTTTAGATGTGGATTGCGAGTCTGTGCTTTGTCCAGTCCAGAGTATAAATTCAATGCAAGTGAGGAAAAAACCATGGGATGAAGAGCTGCGTTCCTGTGACAGGCTGTAAAGAGGAGGGCGTTGTGGAACGAGCAAACAGAATGTAAAATCTTTTTTTTTTTTTTTTTTTTTTTTTT